GCACCACAGCGGTTAGACTTGGTAGAGTTTAAGGGAATGAAGAATTGGTATTCCCTCCTTTTACGTAGTTGGAATCTCTGATGAAACAGATCACAAACTTCTCTTCAAACTTTGTGCCAGGGTTTGGGGAACTTTGTTGCTTCCTGTGTCTGGAAGTAAATTCAGAATGTCAGAACTAAGAAGGACCTACTGCATAGCACAGGGAATTGTACTCAATAACTTGTAATAACCTATAATGGAAATGTATCTTTAAAAGAATAGGCACGTACATATATATATATATATATATATATATATATATATATAATAACTGAATCACATTGCTGTAAACTTGAAACACAACATTGTAAGTCAACTATATTTCAATAAAATTTTTTTTAAAAAGACAAATGTCTGTGCTCGCTTCGGCAGCACATACACTAAAAAAAAGAAAAAAGACAAATATCTAACACATACACACACACACACAAAGAATGTCAAAGCTCACTAGCTGTCTTAGATTGTCTTTCCTAGTGAGGCGCCTCACCAGGTCATCCCCCCTCCCCCTCCCCAGCAGAGGAGCTGGCCATCACTATCCTCAGGCCGTTCAGCCCTAGGCCACCTGGCCACTCAACCTCCTGGTGGCCGCTCTGTGGACACAGGAGGGGGCTTCGTCCAAAGGTCAGCTCTCCTTTCACACCCAAGCTCTACACAGAAATCTATCTAAATTTTCTCGCTCTTCTGTTTTTCAGTGATGACACGCATTTCAGGGGTCGCTAAATTTGAAGTAGATCTTGAATCTGGCTGCCTACTTTCAAAACAAGCTGATGCACTCACATTTTCTAGTTTGTCAGACTTGAGTAGTTTTATTGATATCGTTTTTATCTTTAAGATACATCAACTGACATTGATACAAATATTTTAATATCTTAATATCTTGTTTTTCAGTCATATTTTTTCCCCCAAACAGGAAAACTCCAAGCATCTTTTACTCAAAACAATTTGACCACTTTCTTAGCACCATGGTCAGGTATGATTGTTGGGTGAAGGCTGTTACAGACTCAAAACTGATTCATCTAGAAATGCCGTGATTCCTCTATCCAGACACATCCCTTATTTCTTCTTATTCAGGAAAACAACACAAGACAAACAAACAAACAAAAAACCAGACAACCTGGGAACAACAAAAGTTGGAATTCTCTTTGGCTTGTAGGCAGTCAGTTACATCCATTTCTGGGGACATAGAGGCAGTTCTCCCAGGGAACACCTGCAGGGTTGTAAAGAGCAGGGCTAATGGGTGATCTCTGCCACTCTCCCTGCCCATCCCACAAGCTCCCTAGAGATAGATTCCAGCATCCGCAGAGGCCCGACTGCATATAAAGAAAGAACTGTTCATGAACCGTTTTTCCAGTTGATCATCCTGAGGCCCAACTTGTACTGCCTAAGTGAAGGATTATAGAATTAGCAGTGCATATGGTAAGTGGGCAACACAGAAGGATATGGGATCAAATTCTGATTTGGGATTTTGGTACTTACCCCTGGGGCTAAGGCTAAGAGTCTTGGGTAATCTGAAGAAATATGTTAGAAAGAGAAAAAGTACGATCAGATTAGCCCAAATAAGAGCTGGTGGAAGCTTCTTATAGGAATGTTTTTTCAAAATGTTAAGAAAATGGTCCATGGTGATACTGCTCACATAGGTAAAATGGCTGCTAAAAAAAAGCAAACACTTTCTTTTTCAGAAACAGGCAAGCAATCATAATTTGATTTCTAATAGTCATGTTTGCCATGAGGACTTTTACAATGAGGTTATATAAGCAAATTGATTTCCCTGTTGACTTTATCAGAAAATCGTAAAATGCCCCTGAATCTTCCCTCCAGAATTCTCAAAAATGCCTACAGCAATCTTCCTAGAAAATTATTTTCTGGATTTCATGATGTCCTGAAGCTCCTCCAGCAGCATTTGATTATTGCTGCTGTAAATAGGCAAAAATTATAATTAAGAAAGATAATGAATGTGATATAATAGCATAGTAAACACAGTTGTATATAATTCATTACCACATCTCCCCCTTTACTTGATTTTATGCTCATGTTGAAAGCTCTTAACTGGGCATGTGTAATTGATTCACCATGGTATATGTGGTTGTTTTAATAAAAAGTTTCAACTGAGGCTTTTGTTTAACAGGATAACTCCCTCATTCCACTGTTTCTTTAGGAAAATCAAATTCAACTTATGTCATATCATCTCTGGAACTACATCCTGTTATAGGTGAACACTGCCTATTTTAGCTACAATAATGGAAGATGAGTCAGACTTTCTTCCTTCCCTTGTTTTTCCTGTGTCCTTGATTTTTCCCAGAATCAACTTTCTATAGAATAAATTTCCCTGGGCACTTTTTGTTCCATTCGATGGAACTCAGAGACTCTCAGATTTTTGTAGTTGTAATATCCTTTTCTTAAAAAGGCAAACACATTACCACCTCTCTCAGCATTGCTCTCTTTTTTAAAAACCAAAATAAAGTTTGGAGAAGTTTTAATAGCTTGTGAGAGCATTAAAGGCCTTCTGGGATGTTTTGTCTCATGATTGAAGAAGGGACAATAGCCAATTGTTAGCCTCATGGTAATTTTGAGTGGCTCAATTATTTGGATGCTAACCCTACTTTCAAAATGGCAGGGCTTCCCTGGTGGCGCAGTGGTTGAGAGTCTACCTGCCAATGCAGGCGACGCGGGTTTGTGTCCCGGTCCAGGGGCATCCCACATGCCGCGGAGCGGCTGGGCCCGTGAGCCATGGCCGCTGAGCCTGTGCGTCCGGAACCTGTGCTCCGCAACGGGAGAGGCCACAACAGTGAGAGGCCCGCGTACCAAAAAAAAAAAAAAAAAAAAAAAAAAAAAAGGCAAGATAGAGAATGGAATGTAATACACACTTTTCCAGATTTAGTGCTATGTATGGTCAACGAAGAACTATATTCACACGCCAAAAAGAAAAAGAAAAAAAAGTACCATGTATCCTAGGATCAATCAGCATGCGTGTTTCTGACGTCACCAGTATGGTAAAAACGTCATAGGAAATCCTGCTGTGTGTCTGCAGTGACCAGGGCTGACATGCACACACTGCTCCGCTAGGACCATCAAACCAAGGCCTCGTGGTTCAGCATCTGTCATCAGTCATTTAGTCTCAGAACCTCAGCTTACTCTTCATGCCTTTTTGTTCCTTCTCAACCTACCTACCTATTCACATGTGAAAAAACACTTTTTTTCCTCCTAACGGCTAACAGGTTATTTTATCTACTAGCTTCCTCCTTATCTCTCCCACATCCTCTTTGTGCCCTAGAAGCAGGTAAATTCACTGCCAGCTAATTATAGTACATCATTTTCAATACATAACTTTCTGTTGAGACTTCTGAAAGCATATCAAAGTAGAGCAATAGGCTGGATGAAACAATCAATAAAGAGTATTTTACTGAGCTTTTTAAAAAAGCAAATTTCCCCCATACCAGTGAGTGAGAGGCACATACAGAATGGCTAAATGCAGAGGTATTTCTCAAATCTGTTCAGGTTAATCTGACATAGGATAGGCTGGGGAAGAAATCAGTAGATTCACGTTGCTAGACAGTACAGAGTACCATACGTTTAGATCACTTTACATAAAGCTGTTATTGGACGAATTCTTCTAAAACAAACACGACAACAACAAAAAGTTTCTTAATAATAGACATCAGGGGAACCTTATGTTCCTCCTCTGTTCGATGCTGATTTAACACAACCATACCCACGTGACCATCACAGCTCTGCGTGGGTGACTTAGCTCTAATGACCAATAGGACTTGGCCTAGATTGGTGGAAATTTTATGTCTAGATGTGCTTAACAAGGGAAACAAGAAGTCTGAGCAGTTTTCTGTGAAACAGAAAATCAAAGGAAGAGAAGCAGATGATGTCCACAAGGGGAAAAAAATCTGGCAAATGAATTTGGTAGTATTCCCTCAATTATCTGTGTTTTTTAAGAAATGCAAACCCTTTTCATCTTTTAGATGGTGCATGTCTCGTGTTAGTCCAGAAAACTTATGCCTTTTACAAGTATTGTTAAGAAATTTGAAATTAAGTAATAGTCTATCTAAAAATTTTAGTAAAGAAGGAATGTGAATAAATCCTTGGAGTTTGTGGTAAAGAAGTGAACTGAAAGACACCAGAAAACAAAATGTTCATTTGGATATATGAACCAATGAAACACCAGAACCACAGAATTTTTTTCTCTCTAAACTATAGTGAAGCTCTGAAATATGAGTATAAAAACCAACAACAAAACGTTCATGTACTGTGAAAAGGATAGTTGGCTGAAGTGTGGTACCTGAGGTTCCAGGTTTACACGGGATCTTGATGGTTTGTACCTGAACAGAAGGGTTCTAGGGTGGGAAGACTACAAATGTTAGTACTCTAAGAGCATTTTGTGCATCATAAAATTCTAGATGCCCCCCTGAGCCTGTAAAGATAGCGTGCTCTAAATGGCTTTCCACCACTTTTCTGGAGAACCCAGTCCCTTCTATAAAGACTCCTCTTCCATATTTAGAGATAGAGGCACAGGAACATTTCATGATCTTTAGGAGGGTAATAGTGTGAAAAGTAAGGTTGTAAAATGAACTACTTTCCTCCCCTTTCTACCTAATTTCTTTCTCCTGTGCTTTTAAAGACTAGGATATCTCTTTCTGACCCCAGAGCTCATGTTTAACTCAGAAAGTATACTTTACAAATGTCCTGCATGTTCTAATTTGTATGATGGAAGGAGAAAAGAGCTCATTTGAGCACCAATTTGACATCGTTTTATTCCAACAGTCTTTGGAAGCCAACACTCCTTCCCTTTTTGACTGTCTAAAACGCCCTTGCTAGCCAGATCCCTCTGCTAGCTACAGTGTTTGCACATTTCCTTGTTAATCAGCCACGTAGGCTCGGAGACTGTGTGTTTTGGTGTTGTTTCTGTGTGCAATCTCGTGCTGCTTCCTGAACGCATGTGTCCCTTCCCTTCACAGCCTACTCGACACCCAGCACCTCCCCCGCAAACCGATTCGTCAGTGTTGGACCACGGGATCCAAGCTTTGTAAATATCCCTCAACAGACACAGGTGGGCCGCTCTCATCTTTTCTGTATGTGGTGCAGCTTGTTTTATTCATCAGGTGCATTGTAACTCGTCTTTCGGCACAACAGGCTGCATTTCCCAGCCCCTGTTCAGTCCCCTTTCCTCCCGACCCCTACCCATCCTGGCCCTTCAGCCACATTTCCATGTGTTCTTAGAAATCATGGAAAACAGTGCCTGCAATTTTTGCTTCTTGTATTGAGGGGGTAGGAGAGGAGGGCTTCTGTGCCAGAACTGCTTTTGCTATGGGAAGAAAATTTTCCCAGGCTGGATAGCGTGTGCTCCCTCTTTTAGGAATCTGTGCCTCTCTACGTGCAAGCAGACAGAAGTAGGCCCCTATTGAACCTGGAAAGTATACTCTGGCTGCCGGCGACATCAGAGTGCATGCTTGGAATGGGGGGCCAGTCCCTCTTATGTACTCATTATAGGGTCCCCAGGAACCTGGCAGACTTTCTAAGAGAAAGGAAAAGAAAGGGTTCCTGAGCGCTGTTAAGTTGCTGGTGTTGGTACTGAAATAGGAGGTGTTTGTTACTGGCTTCGCTGGCCCCAGTGGGGTGGGAGGGGATTATGTGAATATAATGTCATATTTTGAGGTAGGTGATTGAAAAAGAGTATGCCAGGACATCTAGAGTTTGTTTTTCAATAGATAGTTGTGTTTTGTGCTAGTATAGGCCAAGGAGAAAGAATCTCTTTTAAAAGTTTTGAAATAGCTGCTGTTAATTGAGAAACAGTGAAAGACTTTTGGAATTCAAAGGTAGCATATATAAAGATACTTAGAGAGTTGTGGAATAGAATTAGATGCGAGTTTTGGAAGAATCTACTCTCTGATCTCCTAATCGGAATGTGACTGTATATTATCAGAATTGACATAAAGAATTTTCTCTTTGAGGTTCTCAACACAGTGTTTGAAAAATTCTCCAAGATATTTTGTGCATGCGCCTCGGTATGTAATCTCCAGATGCCTAATTTATAACTATTCATCTTTGTTTGTAACACTATGAGCAGGTGCTTATGAACGAGATAGATTTGCTTTCCTGGGTCCGTTTGCTTTCTCTGCGAAGGGTTTTAGTTTATTGCTGTGTCGACAGCGTGGGTTAAACAGCATTGCATCTGAAGCCTTCCTTACACCGAAGCAGGGTCACGGAAAGTACAGCCTCAGAGGAGGCAGCTGGGAGGAGAGGGAGAGGGGAAGGAGGGAGGGGAGGGAGAAGGTTAACTCTTGAATTTCCCACTTCTGCTGTTTCTTCTGAAACTGGCAGGTACATGGCATCTGGGATTAACTTCGCCTATTCAGTACTCCCCATAAAATCGTTCAAGTTTATTGCTTATTTTCCCATACCTTCAAATATTTAACTGGTGAATTTGAAGTTGAATAATTACCTCAAAGGCATTACAGTAGAAGAACATTTCTTATTGTACTTCTGGCTCACATGATCAAGGTCAATGAGAAGGGGAGAACTGGGGACAGTAGCTTTACATTGGATGATTGCTTTTCTCAAAGCACCAGTGGGCTCAGGTTACTTCATTAAGAACCTCAAAAATGCAGTTTGGAAATGTCCTGTTTTGTATTTTATATAGTATTTTTATATAAGCTGTGATTCACTGAACTGAAACTGTACCCTGCATTCCATTCAATTTGTTTCTCTATAATCAAAACGTATTCTATTCCAACATGGCTTTGTTTCACAAATGCCTTATTTAACCCAGAAACTGAGTCTTCATGATGTTGACCACAAAAATTCAATTCTTAAAAATCCAGATTTTCTACGCATCTGTATGAATGATGTCATGTAGACCCAGTATTGGCATCTGGAACTGAATTTTTTGGGTTTCTGTTAAATATTTGGCATCATAGAGACAACAGCTTAAATGTTTTTTATCACAGTGACACCTGCCACTTTTGGCTTGAAGAAAGCCATCCCCAATTGTCTTATGAGAAACCACGCTAATGGAGTTACTCTTTTTCCCCAAAAACATATCTGGAACCATTTAAAGTGGTAGGCATATATAGATATAGATCATAAAAATAATATTTTTAGGTACTCTTTTTGAGAGGACATCAGAAGAGGAATTTTTAAAGACATAATTTGAACGTGGCCTGCAGATTAGTCGTTTCCTAGGCAAGCTTGCATTTTTCTATATAAATATTTTTGTTAATAAGGCATGAAATTTGTATTAGTTGAATTATGGGAAAAGTTTTCTGGAAAAACAATATTTTCTTTTCTGCCTTTAAAGAAGTAAAAATTGAAGTGTCACCCAAGCAGATAGGTAAGCTTTATAAATGCAGGAGAGGTATCCTGGACAGAAATCCATAAACAAATACAAAATAAAATGGTCTCCCTTTTCCCCAAAGAAACCTCTTGAAACATCAACCTGTAGAAGACAGATTAGATACGGTCCCTGTTTTTTCCAGCAGATAGAATTCCAACTAATGAATAGACATTTGAAGTAGGCAGCTTTCAGTTTATCATAAGACCTTTCTTTAAAAAAAAAAACAAAACAAAAGAGAGTTCTTTGATTATACATAGCCTCTATTTATTGAGCATTTTCTACGTACTGAGTACCTTAGGTACATTATCCAACGAATCTTGACAGCTACCCAATAGGATATATATAATTATCTCCACTTCATAGATTTGAAACCTGAGATCTGAAGAGATTGTTGATTTTCCCAAGGCCACACATGGTGAGAGGCAGAGCAAGAATGCCTCCCCAGTTTTGTCTGACTCCAAGGCCTATGCTCTCAAACCACTGTGCTGTACTGCCTCATGGGCCGGTGAGCACCTTTCCCTGCAGATATTCAAACAGAGACTGATGCTCAACTCTCAGGAATACCACTGGTGTATTCCCTGGTTTTAAATCTGAGATTGCACTAAAATCTAATCATGAGTATATACCCCAAAGGATTGAAAGCCGGGTCTCCAAGAGATACTTGTACACCCATGTTCTTCACAGCATTATTCACAATAGCCAAAAGGTAAAAGCAATCCAAATATCCATTGACAGATAAATGGATAAACAAAATACGGTATATACATTTTATTGTGTATATACCATTTTAATGTGGTATCATACATATTATTCAGAATTGAAAAGAAAGGGACTTCTGCAGTATGTTACAACGTAGGTGAACTTTGAAGACATTATGCAAAGTGAAATAGTCCAGTCCCAAAAGGACGAATACTATACGATTCCACTTATGTGAGGTACCTAGTGTAGTCAAATTCATAGAGACAAAAAGTAGAATGGTGGTTGCCAAGAGCCGGGGAGAGGGCAGAATAGAGAGTTATTGTTTGGTGGTACAGAGTGTTAGTCTTATAAGATGAAAAAAGCTCTGAAGATGTATGGTGGTGATGGTTACACAACACCGTGAATGTCCTGAATATCACTAAACTGTCCACTTAAAAATGGTTAAGATGGTAAATTTTATGTTGTGTGTACTTCACCACAATTTTTAAAATGTAATCATTAGATAAACTCTTCATGGTCCTTTCTCCACTTGAGAGTCTAAAATTCTGTAAAACAGCCAGGAAGAGTGGATTGTTTACCAAAAAACCCACTGTCATTTTGTGCTCTCGTGTCCAACACATAGTGGGTAGCCAGCAGATACGGGTTGAATCTAAATGATTCGTAAGGAAGTTTAAAAATAATGACTTTTTCTTATTACAGTGGTGATACATGTTAATTGTGGAAAATACAGATGGGAAAAATAATAAAAATCCCTTGTAGTCCTACTGTTAACATTTCTGTCTAAATCCATCCAGGCTGCTTCGATGCATACAAATATATTGCAAAAATGAGATATTATATACACTGTTGGGTAACCTGCTGTTTCTTCCCCGTAACAATATATTATGGCCTTCTTTCCATGTAAATTGGAATAATTGAATATTGGCTTTTATTGCACCTATTCATCGTCTGTAGTGATTGGTAGGGAAAGATAACATGGATAATTGAAAGCCATTTTTTCTCCTCCTTCCCTTCCAGTCTATCTTTTTTCCTCCAGAGAATTCCTCCCTTCACTGAGACAGAATTGCCTTCTCTTTAGCCTTGCCTCGAGCTAGTTTTCTTTCAAACTGCCTTCCAATTGCATTGTCTATCTCACCCCAGCTTTTGGCTCTGTTGGAACATTCCTGCCGAGTTATCTGTCCCATTCTTCTGAATCACTTGTCTGCTACCTCTGCTACTATCATGATTTGCCTTTCGTTTTCCTTATACTCCTCCATTTTGTAGCTCATCATTAACATGGGGGGTAGCCACCTCCTGACAGCCTTTAGAACACCCATCTGTTCTAAGAAACCGTGACCACCCTGAATCTCTTATTTTTCAGTATTGTCCACCATGATAGTTGATACTAACATATAGAAAAGTCTCTGGGGCATAGAGTATCTACTTCACTTTGGACACTATTAATGTCCCCTGCACGCCCACTGAATGATATAAGAGAGCATGGCATCATCTCAAACAGCAGAAAGCCAATGGCCATTTCAGTTGCGTCTCATAATTTAATCTGATCCCTGAAAACGAGAGCCATTAAGAGGAGGCATTTATTTAGAGAAAAAAAGTTAATATTTCATCATGAGGTAATAAATAGAAATACCAATTCCCACACAGAAGGACTGAGCAAAGAACTCATTTTTTTTCAGGTTCTAGTTTAATCAGAATGTTCAAATAAAATGCTTAACCTGCAGAACACCAATGAAGACTAATTCTTTAAAATGAAAAATGAGTGCAAACAATACTAAAAAACAGGCATTTCTTCTTTGCCACCCAAATCTATCACTGTTCTACCTCAACAGAATTGTGGTATCTGAAATGCTATTTAAAACCAAATTACCATTTGGGTTATTAGAAGAATCGCTTGGCATGGCATGGGCCTGATTTGTTGACAAAAAGACACAGGTGCTGTAACCTTTGCTTAATAAATCATTTAGCTGCCTGACTGGCAAGCAGTGTGGCTCCCTTTGCCTCATGAAATTTACAAATGT